GGTCTGAACTCTGGGCTGGATTCCTAACACAGCGTCTGAAGGAACTCCCTTCATATTTAAAGAACATTTCTTCCGACCTTTCGCTTTATCGCATTTAAAGGCATTTAAAAATAATTTCTCACTAAAAGGCAAAATTATTAATGGTACGTTTCTCAGCTCTTTTGCTTCGCTGCATGCTTTCCTGTATTTGTTGATATTTTACTAAAATCTCATCAATGCTGATTCTCTGGGAACTTTTGTGTCACTGATCCTAATTCAACTGTAGGTTTTGCTTGCCAGACTCCCTTATTCTGTTTTTATTTCATAGTTGAGGCTACCTTGCTGGCTGTGCATCTGATTTTCTGTGATGCTTACAGTTCTTTCTCTTCATATAGCTCCCCGCCCCCATCTCTATGTTTGCTGTATTTGGCCCCACAGCTTCCTGTACAAATCCTATGCGGTGTCTGTGGAACATCTCTGGTTACTTTCTCCTGTTGACTCTGTAATATTGATTACCTTTGTGTGCATGTCTCCATCCATGTGTGGTGTCTAGTAATAGCTTAAGAACATAAGAAAAAAAAATCACTGTAGGGTCAGGCTCCTGGTCAACCTTGACCTGTAGAGTTTTTGATAGTGGTTCTAAGGAATGTGCTGTGGACTGGTTGCAAACTGACCTTCAACTTCACCTTGAGGCTTCAATTAGTACCTTGCAAGTGGTTGAAGAACCAGTAAAAAGTAGCACAGAGGGTGGCAACCAAGTGGTGCTAATCTGAAATTTGAAGGAATATTATTTAGAAAAGAAACCAGACTTAATCTGTACCATTTAGATGTTAAATTGGTGCTCTGGGAGATGCTGGCTGCCTATAACAAAGAAACAAACCAAAAAAACAACAACAAAAAAACGTTCTTACAAGAATTGTCTGATGAGGGAAGCAGGTTGCATTGTGAGCAAGAAGTTCAAGTGTTCCCATAAAAGTTTAGCCTTCCACTGCCCAACAGAGATTTCATGTGAACTGCACATGCAATTTTAAATCGTCAAGTTGTTCTCAGTTGACTTTGAGTCTGCTTTAGTTCATGGCTAAGTCCAGGTATCGAACAAGACATTGCCTGGTACGGCGCCATGTTCACGATCCTATCCAAGTCCCTTGTGGCCACTTTGTGGTACTTTCTAGCCTGGGTGGGGGTGGGAGGGTCATCTTCCAGCACGAATTGGGCAACAGTCTGTAGGTTTTCACTGGGTAATGTTGGGAGTGGATCACTATGGAAGCTCCCCTGCAGCATGCCCTCATGGTGACTCTGCCCGCACTGGAAATGCTGCTGCATTTCAGCTTCCAGCCACTCCGCAGCAATGTGCATGCCGCCATGGACTAACACACTGACAGATGGGTGAATGCATAAGTTCATTAGTACTCTTATGTTTATTTGAAAAATCACCTTATAAACAACACAAATGACTAGCTAGAAATTGATTTCTTAGAGACAGTGTCCTTGGATCCTAAGCTTACTGGTGATTCTCAGGCACCTGTATCATTGTGTATCTGACCTGGATCCTTGCCTCTTGTGATGTCTGCACTGACTGGCAGAGCTGGTTTCCCTCCGTCCACATTTGAAAAAAGAAATGCAGATTCTTAGACCGTACCCCCCACATCCCTGCTGCTGCAGCTTTGAGAGGAGATGTCAAGGTATCTATATATATGTTTGTATTTTCTTAGTGATTCTGACACACCTTAAGGTTGACAAACACTTTGCTTATGGAATATACGTATTATACATAGTAATGAAGATAGAGTGAAAAAATGAGCCTCCTGAGAGATGTGTCAGTTATCCTGAAGTAACATGTTCTGAGAGCCAAAATCCATCTGGAGGTGAAGGATGACCATATTTTTCAAACACTAAATCACAGCATATGTTCTGACAATTAACAGTAGTTTGGATTTAGTTTGGGTGGCTACTTTGGTCTGGGAAGCAATGTAGACATTTCCAGCCTATGTAGGAGGTGGGGGAAAAAGCAGGTGGAATTAAAAATGGATATTCATGTTATTCTGGGTCAAATTCTGCCGTGCTTGGCAAGAATGCCAATTCCAGCTGATCTCGGAATGTTAGAGGTGATTATGGAGGAAGCAAGCAGGGAGCCAAGATAAATGATCATTTAACAGAGGAACTGCAACCGGGGACGAGTGGAGCCAAGACAATGCTGAACAAAGGAGCTTAAATTTGAGGGAGGAGAGGAATGAGCTAGAAATAGCTGTATCTAAAACAAATGAGATCGCCGAGTATAGTGTTCCAAAATATCCATGTGAGTAGTTTCCCTTTGCTCACTTAAATATTTGATGCCCTGTGATCCTTGCAACAAATTGCCACCAAGCTATCATTGAGAATAAGGCTGTACATTCTGATTAGAAATGGACTGGCATGAGGATGATACTCACCTATAAGTGAGTTCAAATTCACCTGGAAGTGGCACTATGTGTTCTGTGAGCCTGTGAGAACAACCCTTCATTTGGGCCTTCACCTGTGAGAAGCTTTGTTATGGCCTTCGCTAGAAAGTGAGGCAGTTGTAGTGCAGTTGGGGATTCTTGCTTGTCTGTGGCTAAGATGCTAACGGGCCTTGAGTGTGATCCTCAGCCCCATCATGGCGGTGGTGCAGGGCCTGGCTGCTTTTGGATGAGTTGTTGGCAGCCAACAATAAGAAGAGTAGAAAGAATTGGATGAAAAATATGGCTATGATTTATTGAAAATATTATTATGAGCTTTCATGTATGTAATTTAATAGGAATCTAAACTGTTTTAAATAATATTTCATGATTAAATTTCTTTCTAGACATATATATTTTATAGTTAAAATGATTTTTTAACATTTTAAGATTTCAGCTAGTATTTCATGAAACACCATAATATTATTATTATTATTATTTTAAATCATTTTATTGGGGGCTCATACAACTCTGATGACAATCCATAAATATACAGCCATTGTATGTCTAGCACATTTGTACATTTGTTGCCCTCATTATTCTCAAAACACTTGCTTTCTACTTAAGCCCTTGGTATCAGCTCCTCATTTTTTCCCCTCACTCCCTGCTCCCTTCTCCCTCATGAACCCTTGATAATTTATAAATTATTATTGTTTTGTCATATCTTACACTTCTCAGATGTCTCCCTACACCCACTTCCCTGTTGTCCATCCCTCAGGGAGGGGGTTATATGTAGATCCTTATAATGGGTTCCTCCTTTCTACCCCACCTTCCCTCCACCCTTCCGGTATTGCCACTCTCACCGCTGGTCCTGAAGGGATCATCTGTCCTGGATTCCCTGTGTTTCCAGTTCCTATCTGTACCAGTGTGCATCCTTTGATCTAGCCAGATTTGTAAGGTAGAATTGGGATCATGATAGTGGGTGGGGAGGAAGCATTTAGGAACTAGAGGAAAGTTGTATGTTTGTTGTATGCACACTGACTGGCTCGTCTCTTCCCTGTGACCCTTCAGTAAGGTGATGTCCAGTTGCCTACACATAGACTTTGGGTCCCCAATCTACACTCCCCCTCATTTACAATGATATGATTTTTTTGTTCTTTGATGCCTGATCCCTGATCCCTTTGACACCTACCTCATGGTCACACAGGTGGCTGTGTTTCTTCCATGTGGGCTTTGTTGCTTGCACACATTTGTCTTGAGCAATCGTGTCGGGAAGGTGTGCATCATGAAATGCCAATTTAATAGAACAAAGTGTTCTTGCATTGAGGAAGTACTTGAGTAGAGGCCCACTTAATATTATTTTTTTTTAACTGCATACTAATTAGGAAAATCAGGATGAACTTTTTTTTAATGAATGTGTTTTTTAACTTAATTTATAACAATAAACATAAATTGGTTTCTTATTATGTACCCAAACACTGGTTTAGGTACTTCACCCAAATTACCCCATTTAATTTTCTCAAGAGCATTTCTGATGTACATATTATTATTATCCCCCCCTCCCAAGCAGTGGACAGTAAGGTGTTGTGAATTAGCAAGCAGACATCTAAACTCAAGTGGAAGGTCTCAAGAGTCCAGCTCTCACCATACAGTGAGACTATAATGATTGTGTAGACCCTAACCATTTTGGCTGTACTATATACCACGAACAACAACCAATACAAATCTCCCAATTATCTCCGGAGGTCCCAAATTTTCATTGCTAGGTCTCTTGATCAGAGAAGAAGATATTACATGCCATAGTTACAGAGTGTGCATGGAAAAGCTGGCATCAACTGTTCGTTTCGGTCTCTTTAAAATTGCCACTCCTGAAAAGGTCTAAGGGTTTCACAGTAAAAATCCACATCTACAGACACGTGTTGTCTTGTGCAGATGGCAGGCCTTTCTGAAAATTGCCAGAAGAAAAGAACACATTTTCTAGAAATGTTTGATATTAAAATTACAATGCACGCAGTTTTTGCTTCATGATATGTACACCCTCAACTTGAAAATTTTGTCTATGAGGTTTTGGGGTGTAAAATTTAAATTTGAAATGATTCTATGTGTTTCTGTCCAAAATAGGCAGAAGAGGGCCATATTTATAGTTACCTTGGAAACAACCAGGCACAAATGCAGTGCTAACTCTCTTTAGTGAAATTCAAAATCACTTCATGGAACAAATGAAATAAAAAGTATTGTCCTCCGGCACAGATCTTAATTAAGTTCCAATCATATAGAATCCACCATGATAAGTCTTATTAAACCTGACTTGGGTATGTCAGTTTGGTGGGGAAACTGGCAATGTCTTAAAAGGTCTTATTCAATATGTGCATCACTCACCTTTTCCTTTTTAAGCTATATACCAACCTGTTCATTGTGGGTGACTCTTCCAAGTCCCTAATTCATAATTCCCATGACGTTAACGTTTCTAGGTCCAGTTTTCAGTATTAGTGTTTCTTAAAACTTGACAGCCCTGGGGTGACCCAACAATTGATGCTATTCTTAAGAGAGAACTTTGTACAGTGACGTATGTTGATCTACATGTTTGCTTGTTTTTAATCCTTCTAGGACTCCACTATTGTTACTCCAATTATTTTGAGGACTGACCCTCAGGGATTTTTCTTCTACTGGACAGATCAAAATAAGGTAAGAGAGGGAAAGTCTTCTCCATTTCTAGCTGGTCACTGCTGCCCCGTGTATTCATCCATCTTACCTACAAGTAGCTCCCTTTCATGGATGACCCTTTGTCATGAAAGATTCTACTTAGAACAGAAACGTATGGCTAAAGTGTCTTGGGATTTTTCAAGGACCCTGGTATGAAATGTTCGATTCACTAGTTTTGCTGTTCTGATCACATTTATTAGGATAAGAACATGGGACTGTAAATTACATTTGGGTTAGAAGAAAATCGGTTAGTGATTTAATTCCTCACCCAACTCTACCCATCAAGATGAAGAAAAATGATGAGACAATCACTTCTGGTCTTAAGGGTTGTAACCTTGGCCTTTCCTTTCTCTCCTTTGTTCCCTTTTGTTCATTAAATTTGATTCCAGCATTAGGAGGAATTTGACCTGGAGGATTTTCTTCCTTAGACTCCACCTGTAACCTTTCAAGAATTTCTTCCCAAATTGACCTACTGCCCACATTACCATGAATTTCGGATTTCATTTATTATGAAACCAATTTAGATGATTCAATATTGAATTATTAAAATGTAGAATGTCTTCAAATCATGAGATTTATTTGAAATTGAGTGGGCAGTTAGACAGGAATAGTCATAGAAAATGGTTATCATCTTAAGAGACATTGCCATCGATCCCCACGTGAATGTAAGAGACCACATACTGTGGAATACATGGCCCTCCGAACCCTGTTATCTGGAGCAGTGGAGGAGGGTTTTTGAGAGGCATTAACTACGTAGTACAACCAACGGACTACTTGGGGCCTCCGATATAATTGCTGAAAGCGCAGCAAATTGTTAGGTTCTTCACAACTCTTTTGTAGGTTGTTATATTTGCCTCCAGGTCATTATCACTTTCACCTGTGAGAGGTGGTATTGAGTTATGCGAATGCAATGGGGTAACCCGCAAAAGGTGACCTCAACCAAGGGGAAGTGCTTAGGGTTCTGACCCAGGGGCCAGTCCTGAATGGGCCTGTTTATTCTTTGAGAATACGTGTGTCCTAGAGCCATCTGAAGCTATTGAAGGTTTTTAGATCTGTATAAATTTCAAATAGGATTAAAGTGTAAAGCCACAAAACGAATGCCCAAACTTTTATTTCAATAAGATTTCACCCTTAAAGTTCATGTTTATTACTGGGTGTGTTCATCACGTTGGCTTCAATATTCTGTTTGGCTTCCTGCTGTTATGTATAAAACAATGGCTTGAAAGAGGTTGTGTTTTCGTCCTCTCCCCCATGGTTATTTTTAGAACTGCTGCAGCTATATTCATGAAAGATGTATTTATAATGCCGAGAGCATTTTTAAAGGTTGGTTATTTGTATAAGAGTCCAAACTGTCAGTTTGATTTTTCAACTAGTAAATCAAGCTTCTATAAATGCAACAGAAGGTATTTTGGGGTTTTTAAATAATTCACGGCTACTCAGTTAAGCAGCATTCTTAAGACCAATCATAAATGATTCTTTGCTTAAGAAAAGATTTAGGACCTATGGCTCCTTTACTGTTTTCCATTTGTTCTGTGGATTCAGTATTTTGACCCATTTACTTTCAAATATAGGAGAATATTTTGCAGGCTTTTTCCACCAACTATTTTCTCTCTAGACTCTTCTAATGCTGTGTTTAAAGGCTATTGAAATGGGTAAGATATAGTGATTCCTTTTACCCTTTTATTACATGACTTTTCTTGGGTATTAATGGTAAGTTCCACTTTTCATTCTGTAAAGCGTGGTCATGCCTGAGCCACGTGAAGATCATAGTTTGGAGGTTTATTTTATTAGTCAATGATCATCTATCTTATAAAGCTAAAAGACGAAAAGATTTTAGAAAATATAAAAAGCCTTTCTATACTTCCAAGTTGGTCATTTTCTCCTGGCTTTAAGCTCAGTTCTGGATCCAGAAAGAGTAATTTAGGTGGTTCTTGGGTATATTCAGTGTAGATACCTGGAAGAGACCTGGTTCGCCCACAGGAAGGGTGCAGGCCACGCTTTGAGCATACAATCATGTGAAAGTGCATGGCTGGACAGTGCAGTGCTGAATTGAGAGGGCTTCAGGAAGTTCATGAAGAACTGGAAGCAAAAGAGGATAGAATCCTTTCTCCATCTTTTTTGAAACCTCCTCATCCTATACTTTCTGTGAAATATTTTTAAACAAATATTTATTAGTCTTTAGAATCTATGATGTATAGAATCCATAGGTATACCTCAGAGGAAAACAATCAGGGAATATGGGACTTTTAACTATCCCCTCTGCAAACGATATATGGGTTTGTCTGCTTTGGAAGCTGGCTTTGGAATTCACGATCATCCACCTGTTCTTTCTTTTTGCCTCTCTCCTCCGCGTGCGCGTCTGGGCCACAGGAACTTCTCTGTGGGCCCGTGAAGCGTGTGCTGAAGTAGTTGGTTTAACAATCACCTGAAACCACGACTGCCCAGTGGTGAGCTGAGAGGCATTAAGAAGCTCTTGTTGGAGTAGTTGCTACAAGAGGTTCCTTTTTATAGCACCAGAGGAGAACCTTCACGCTGTACACTCTCCTCCATGGTCCTCTCTTCTGCCGGGCCACATCCTAACTTGTACGGAGGCAGCAATTTCAAGTCAGTGGTTCTTTCTGAAACCCAGTGCTGTGTTCCCTTCCTCAACACCACCTTCCAGTTGTCACTCAAGAAGTGATGGGTGCCAAAGCAGACAGCACTCATGATAGATTTAGGATTTAGTAACGAGGATGCCTGGCTGGTACAAATGGCCAATGCCCTTGGTTACTAACCAAACTGTTAGTGGTTCGAGTGCACCAGGAGGTACCCGGGTGGAAGGCTGGTGATGTGCTTCTGGAAAAAAAGTATACATTTCTCATTTGTTCTGAGGACTGTCACCATGGAATAGAGGTGGCTTGATAGCAACTGTTTTTTTTTTTCCTTTCTGTTTTCCTCTTTCAAACCAGAACTAGCTCATAATTTTTACGTAGCAGAAATATGCTTTGGTAATGTATAAATTTTTTTTGCAGGTGGATAGAAGCAGATAAAATATGAATATCATCTTTAGGGTTAAATGCTCATTATTTGATGCACCTTGGACTTCATTTTGATATATATATTTAGTTTTCCAACTGGTGCTGTGAATCTTATTGATTATAATTTTAAAAACAAGTTTCTCATTATGGCTACTTTAATTATGGTGATTTTTCAGATCTAAGTGCATGAAATGTGAAGGGGATAAGCTGATTGTAAGTCATGGATGGAAGGGCCTCCCACGTCACCTGAATAGTTGACGTGGCTTTGACATCTCATTGGAGCTAGGCCCCGTTGGCATCAGATACCAACGCAGGAAGCATTAGCCACGAAAATCACATTAGCTACTGGAAGAATCTGCACCAGAAATTTGGAAGAAAGGCTAATGAATAAGAATGGTTAGAGAGCAAACAAAAACCGATCCTGCCAGAATATGAAACAAAGTAGGCCTTTGCCTTGCAGCTTGATACTCTGACACAGAGCCAAAGTTAGTGCAGAAATAAAGCCAGGCACTACTAGTAGATTCAAGAAGTTCAATAGCATTCAGAGACCCCCTTCCTTGCAGGGACCTGGGGGGTGGGAGTGGGCAGTAGGGGAAGACGTTGCCATGTAATTAAAATTTTAAAAAGTGGGAGGGAAAGCCATACATTTTCAGTGAAGGAATCTCACCACTTTCTTTGTGATAGACGGTTTATTTTCAGGCTTCGATGTGCAAATGCCTTCTTGCTGTAAACAGCACATCGCCTCCAGTCCACTGGGATTCACTGGGGTCCTATGGGTTGTCCAAGACTCGATATTTGGTGGAGCAGAAAGGTTCATCTTACTTGCTCGGAAAGGTTGGTGGGTTTGAATGGCTGACCTTGATGCCTAACCCATAATAGAAATAATCTTAAACTCACAGTGATTCACATCCTTGTTCTCGCTCGAGTTGGCTGCATCTTAGGTATCTTTGTAGACCTTTAAGAAGAGTGCATTTGTATATGCTACTGCTATAGACGCACTTCATTGTGCTTTCTGTATGTGTGCTTTAGGCCCAACAGCATCATATTGTACTCAGTGGTATACAACTCACCTTTGCAATTTTGCATAATGTCTTAGGGAGCTTCCAGTATGGGGTATGGTTTTGGTTGCCAGGCAGTCTCACTTGCTCCTCCCATAGACCAGATCACCAGTGGTAGTTACTTATGACAGTAGTATTGATGGGCGGTTCTGGTTTCTGAATTTAGGCTAAGACACATAACCCATTCATCTAGGGCATAGGTTCTCAAACTCATTTGATCTATTGCCCCCTTTTCAGAAAAAAAGAAAGAAAGAAATTGATCCACATTACTTTGGCCATTAAAAACTTTGTATTGTAGCCTGTCATCCAGGAGAAAATGTAGGTGGGTATCTACTCTTGCAGTCCTACAGGGATCCTTCCAGCACTTGTTGTTGTTGTTGGTTGGGGACAACTTAGAGCAGCCCCAGAGTCCTGCTTGTACCTTCACCCTCACCACTCTGGAGAATATGAGAAGCCTCAACTTTTCTTGTTTTTAGAGCCTGCTGATGTCGTGTGTGACACAATTAGCTACTAACCACAAAGCTGGTGGTTCAACCAACCATTTGTCCTGGGGAGAAAGATGAGTAGGCTGTGTGTTCCCCCAAAGATGCACACTCTCAGACACCTGATGGGGGCAGTTCTATTCCACTCGATGGGGCCACTATGAGTCAGAATCCATTCTATGGCAGCGGGCGTAGGGCCCACCTGGTGCTTGTTGGTGGTCGAAAGGGTTAGTGTCCTTGGCCACTAACTGAAATACTAGAGTTCAAGCCCACCCTGAGGCACCTTGGAAGAGAGCCTTCAGGATCGACTTCTGCAAAACCAACCATTGTAAATCCTGTGGAGCACATTTATACTATGACACACCTGGGGTCCCCACAGGTTTATGAGATACCGGACAAGCCCACATGGTCACTGGTGGTTTAGA